TATTAGTAAAAGCTGATTAAATCAAAAGGTATGTATACAAATAAACAAATGTTGTCTTAGAATAGAATTACAGAAAAATGTTTCTTTTAGATGCTGTTCTTTAAACAATGCTGGAAGTTGGACATTGCAGTGGGTCTTGCTGAATAACTAAAACATTAATTGTGAAGTTAAACAGAAAAGCATTTTTTTGTAAATAAAAATACTGTGGATCTCGAGTGCTGTGAGAAATAAGAAATCCCCCAAATATAATGTATTGTAAATCCATCGTAAATGGTAATGGGTTAAAATTTCAATGTTATGAAGTTAACTTGAAGATATAAAAAAATGTTTTAATCCAGTTGACGTGATAGCAGAAGATAACGTTTTGTATTTAAAATCAATGTTATTAGTACAGAAATGCCGGTACAGTAGATACCTAATGTAGTATTTATTCAGATATTATTGATAATATTAAATATAAATAATAAAAAAAGAATGTTTTATTTGTAATGGTTCATTGTGAAAGAAAATTGTCTTTTTCTGTGAGAACAGAGTGGATATTTAAAAAGACATATACTTACCGTATATGCATATACAACTCTTTGAATTGATTAAAACATGAGTTTTTCAAATAATGATAAAAAAACATTTATTGAAACTACCTTCCAAAATTTGCCAACTAAAAAATTGGATTTATTATATTATGTAAAATTGAACATATGTAGGTATCTGTATATTTTATGCATAATGTCACATTGTATATGTAACCTATAGTGTAAGACCAACAAAGATGTTTTATTTAAATCGTTCGTAGCAGTGAATAAAAATTCACTGCTGGTTTCCAGGGGTCCACGTAAAGCAGGAAGAGTGTAGGAATGTAGTGGTGGATTCTTATAAACCAACTAAACAAAACTTCCACACTGTGCACTATATTTCCGTTCATCTACAGCCTAGTTTCAACTGGAAAACTAAAATGTTGGATTCTACCAACGGCCGGGTAAAAAAATACATACTATACTATACCTGTAGAAAGGGTTTTTGCAAGACGCCCCCAGACCAAATATTTGTCTTCTGAGTAAACTTGGAAGTGGCTTTTCTCAATGTACAGGTATATTTTACTTGACAGGTGATAGGAGTGATAGGGACGATTCGACGATCGTCAGTGATCGAAAAAGTGGAGGTAGATCTTCAAGTTTAGGAATCTCGCATATTTGTACTGCAACGTAATCTTGGTAGAGGTTATTATCATTTTTAATGAATGGGTAAAGGTTATGTTAAAGCTTATATTGTTATTTACCTATCCATATGTTAAGTTAGAAGAATGTATTTCACTGACAATCCAGATCACAAAGCATACGTGGGGCCACGACCTATAACATAAGCCCATGGGAACAGTGATAAACGTAATTTTCTTCTTGGGAAAAAAAACGATACCAAATCTTCACAAAACCAAAGAATATGATGTAAAACGGCCTCCGCTGGCACGGTTTACGCAAATTGGTGCATATAAAGTTAAAAATTTTCAATTTTCCTTGGGCAACGGTTGGCGGCCATCTTGTGATATTATACTGACAGCCTGTTATCGGATGTAATAAACTCACAAAATTTTTTGTCGAAGGGTTTTATACCATCGCTTACGATCCGTTGGGGCTATTGTGGGGGCTGAATATATTTTTTCGCGGAAAGGGAAATGTATCGTGACGTCACTCGTCGAGAATTCGGCCGCGGAAACTCCGCGAACATCTCGTAAGAGTCGCGGAAAGTACGTTCTCTTTTCACCTGACCAAAGAGACGTCCATGGCTGAATAAACAAATTTTATATCGCTAATGCCGGTCTTAAATTTTGATACATTCGACCTAAAAAAAAGTTGATGGAGAAAAGATAGAGAACGTCGCGACGCGTCGCCAGAACGGCGTCGCGGGGGGACAACAGGGACTTTCTCAGTCCTCGGGCGCGGTCTGTACGCTGAGAGAAAAACTTGGGCTTCTTTCTCACGCAGAAAGCGGTGGCCGATCGAGCGAGGGAAAAAAATTATGCCGTTGCGAAAACGGCGTTTTCGCCGAAATAATCCGGGCTTTATAAAATAATCGGAGTCTCGCGAGAGAGTCGCAAGATGTAGACCCTTTTTGAAAAGCTAATTTCGGCGTTAAAAAGTAAAAAATACGCCTGAAACACTCAGAAAGGACGAAAGTTTCGCGTAAAAGCGGAAGGAAGTCCCGATCCCTCCTGGGAAAAAAGCTCTCGGTCAGAGAAATCGACCCTGAAATGCTTCCGAAGGAAGGCGTTCCCGAGTATTTCCGTCTCACTTCCCCGCTAAAAGCCGCGATTAGTCGCGCAGACGCCCGGGAAAACCGAAAATTCACTGGGAAGACGGCAAAAAATCGCCATCAAAATACGACGCTTTGCCCCCACGGCTCGCTCTAAAAGCCTTAGTTATTGCAAAATGGCCCTTTTTCGTGGGCGGGTGGGGGAGCGAGAGTAACCCGTACGCTTTAATATACAGGGTGTATTTAAATGGAGGGGCACAAATGATACCAGAGATTCCTTGGGTGAAAATAAGTCGATTTAACCTAACATACCTATATCCCAAGTCGCATAATAGAAAAGATACAGGGTGTCAAAGTGAAAAATAAAAAATGGTTTTTCCTTAATAATTCCTATAATTTTAGTCAGAAATGTTTCAAATTTTCAACAGATAGATTTTTTAATGATGGGAAAAATAATATAATAATGATTTTTGAGTATCGAGTACGAGGCGCCCTCTGCAGGCAATGATATGCATTGAATATGTAGTAACTTTTTTGCCAACCCCCGTATACAGCTTTTAGTAATAAAATATGAAATACTGGACTTTATTCAACAAAAAAGGTATACTTATCGAAAATGGCTAAAGCCAACCGTTGAGGAAATATTTTTACTTTCATAAATTAGTGTTACGGATTTATACCTCCACGAATACCAAGGTACAAACAGACACTTTTGTTAATAAATTCAGAACGCATTACCTTGCAGTACTTATTAGTTGTGTATCTGTATTTAAAACCAAAAGGGGGCTCAGGAATCAACTGAGACAACATTATTTTTCCTGTTTTAAATTTACTTTACTTTTCTTTGAGTATTATTTTAGCATGTGTGAAGACACTTGTTGCATAATTTCTATTTAATTGTTTTTTCGGTGTCTATTAAAAAAAAACACATTTTCTTGTGCATGTGAAATTAATTAAACCCTGCATTAAAGAAATCTCATATGAAATAACAGTTCAGGTAAAAAAAATATTGCAAAATACTTATTTATTGTTAGTTTAATAATAATTATTAGAAGAAAAAGCAAAACAACTAAAACCAAGAGTCACTTAACAACAGTCAATAGATAGTTTAAGAGAAACAATTGGCTGACAATAAAAGAAAAACAAGATTTTTTAAAGGAAGTAAATTTCCATTTTCCTGCAACATATCGACATACTCGTCATTAGTAGGTATACATAATTTGTTATTTTATTCAATTCCAAAACTATTTAATATCTAGGACGCAGGTAAATAGTGACTAAAATCAATTAACACTTTAAAATAACACTTCAAAATTGTAATTTACGAGTATTATCAAATGACATTTATCTACTCGATTTATTTATTTATTTAAGCAACTCGAACCTTAGAATTCGTGGAGGTATAAATCCGTAACACTAATTTATGAAATTAAAAATATCTCTTCAACGGTTGGCTTTATCCATTTTCAATAAGTATACCTTTCTTGTTAAGAAAAGTCCAATATTTCATATTTTGTTACTGAATGCTGTATACGGGGGTTGGCAAAAAAGTTACTACATATTCAATACATAACGTTGCCTGCAGAGGGCGCCTCGTACTCGACACTCAAAAATCATTATTATATTATTTTTCCCATCATTAAAAAGACCCTCTGTTGAAAATTTGAAACATTTCTGACTAAAATTATAGGAATTATTAAGGAAAAACCATTTTTTATTTTTCACTTTGACACCCTGTATCTTTTTTATTATGCGACTTGGGATATAGGTATGTTAGGTTAAATCGACTTATTTTCACCCAAGGAATCTCTGGTATCATTTGTGCCCCTCCATTTAAATACACCCTGTATATGAATTAAAGCAGCCGCATTTCCATTCCGTATTAATTTCATTAAACATTATAAATAAAAAGTTTGAAAAACGCATCTGGTAAGCAAATAAAACATATTTCTACACAATAATTAAATAAATAAGTAGAAAATAGCGAGAATAAAAAATTAAAAAGCTCCAACCGCTCACGATTCGAACCAGTGTCCCGCGGATGGACGGCCGACATACAGTCCCTCGAGCTATCCCAGACACTCAGTGGGATGTCCTTGTATAAGTTATTTAACGGTCCGCATCGGCTCGAACTCGACGAAAATTTTGAAAAGTTCAAATTTCGTTTTTTCGCCGCGATATTGATCGCGAAGAACGGAAATCGGTATCGGACGTGAAAATAACGACCCCTACGTCCCGAAAAACGTCTAGAAGAGCAAAATTTCGTAGGACAATTTTCTGTATCGGAAGGTGGGCGTTTCCGACATGTCGCATCTCTGTTCTACTCCGCGCCTAGCCGAGTTGCTCCGGGAAAACGAAATTTTACCCGGAAAATCGCGGGAAAAACGTCGCGAAAATACCTTTAATGGACGAAGGAACGACTACGTAGCGCCTCGCGCCCCGGACCTCGCAGAGAAAGCCTTAGCGACTGCAAAAGGCCCCTTCTCGCGGCCCAGTGTGGGAGCGAGAGGAGATTGCAGAATTTAAAGATATAGAACTAGGAACGTAGGCAAGTCGGCTTCGCCGACTTGACGTTTCTTTCGGGAATTTGCCCCTCAGGCCGCATGAGCTCCGCTTCGCGGAGCACTGTCTTGCGCAAATGTTTTTTAAATCATCAACACCATCCAAATTACCATCATCTACATCACCATTATCTACATCGCCATCATTTACATTGCTATCATCTACATCGCTATCATCTATATCGCTATCATCTATATCACCAAAATTGCAGCACCATCATCTCCAGCATCGTCATCTACATTACCATCATCTACATCGCCGTCATCTACAGCGTCATCATCTACATCACCATAATTTACAGCACCATCATCTACATCACCATCATCTACATCTATATCGCCATCATCTACGTCACCATCATCTACAGCACCATCATCTACAGCACCATCATCTACAGCACCATCATCTACAGCACCATAATCTACATCACTATCATCCACTTGGCCATCATCTATATCACCATAATCTTTAGCACTATAATCGTCAGCACTATAATCTTCAGCACTATAACCTTCAGCACTATCATCTACATCGCCATCATCTACATCACTATCATCTACATCGCCATGATCTACATCACCATAATCTACATCGTTATCATCTACACCACCATCATCTACATCGCCATCATCTACAGCGTCATCATCTATATCACCATAATTTACAGCACCATCATCTACATCACCATCATCTACATCTATATCGCCATCATCTACATCATCTATATCGCCATCATCTACATCACCATCATCTACATCTGCATCGTCTACATCGCTATCATTTACATCGCTAACATCTACATCACCATAATTGCAGCACCATCATCTACATTACCATCATTTACATCGTCATCATTTACATTGCTATCTACATCGCTATCATCTACATCACCATCATCTACAGAGTGACCCATTTGAAAGCGGGCCACCCTCATAACATTTTTATTTATGGAGCAATTTTGACGAAATTTTTTTTGAAATGTGGAGGGAGAAAAGGTGTATTTTGAGGCCAAGCGGCGTCCAATTTTGTTTAAAACCAAGGTCTACTAGATCATATTCAGAGGCTGAAAAATGCAGAATCCATATTAGCGATTTTTTTAGAAAAAATCTGCGTACGCCACTGGATTCGGCGTCCCCTGAAATGGATCTGTACCAAATTTTATGAAAAAATATTCAAGAATAACGATTCTATGGCTAAATTGCTGTCAAGTTGTTTATTATGCATTAAGAAGCGTTTTATCTAGTAATTCATGCGATAACAAATCAATCACAGCAAATATTTAATAACAACATTTAATAGACATCCCTATATCAAAATATAATGAAACAAACAGATAAATAAACGAGAAATTAACATAAAATAAACAAAAAATACAATAAAATAAAATTAACACACATTAATTAACTTTAAATTCTGGATTTTTCAACTAAATCTCCATTTAATTGAACGAATATTTTTGTAAATGTTGCCTCGTCACTAAAAAAATTAAATAAATAATGTCGATCCCACAGTTATTCATAATAGTGGCAATCTTTGTTTTATTTAAACATGCTTTAATAATACAACACCATAGTGATGAACAATATTCTTAATAGCAGGCTTTGCAATTACTTAAGTCGCAGATGACTGAACAAAAGACGAATATGTCAAATTTATTAGCTCAATAATGAAATTTATGTATTGTTCCTTAAGTGCACTGTCAAAAAGTATGACTCTGTAATTTAAAACGTTACAACATAAGATTGAAATAGTAAAACTTTGTGATGACAGAGACAGATCCGAAAGGGAAGTACCTCTAATTTTTAGTGATAGACATCAGAAATTCAAAATATTAGCAAGTCTACCATTGGGCGAGTGAGCAATATGTTTAATGAATACGGAGCTGTATCTACACATTTAAAAAAATATTAATGTACAACAGCCAAGAAGAAGCAATGAACAAATTCAAAATTATTTCACCGAAAATCCGAAAAAAGTTTAAGAATTGCTAGTTTGGACCTACAATTACCACGGGACACCATAAGGAAAAAACTTAAAAAATACAATAATATGAAGCCTTTTAAAGCGACACCTTAGAAGACGAACGAATGAAATATTGCTTATAGTGCCAAGGAGAATACCCCAATTACAGACATTTTCTAAAAAAAAATTGTTTACTGACGAGGCAATATTTACAACCAATGGGACAGTAAATTCACATAACACGAGGCATCAGGCATAAGAAAATCCGAATGGGTAATAAACTATAGGCGACAGTATTCATAGAAGGTAAACGTATGGTGCGGTATATTAAATACCAGAATAATTGGCCCCTTCTTTTCTGAAGGCAATAGCCAAAGTTTTTTACATTTTTTTAAAATGAATTCTCGGATGCTATTGATTAACTTCCACTTGCAGAAGTGGCTGGTCTACTGTTTCAATTAGATGGCTGTCTTATCCACAACACCAGTTTCCTCCCAGGGCTCCCGACTTAACTCCCCTAGATTTTTTTCTTTGGGGGTTCATTAAAGAAAAAGTTTACTACACTCGTCCAACGAATTACAACACATCAGTTGTCTAATGTTATAGCACACATTCAAAGACGATACAATAAATGCATTCAATTAAATGGAGATTTAGTTGAAAAATCTAGAATTTAAAGTTAATTCATGTGTGTTAATTTAATTTTATTTTACTGCGTTTTTTGTAAATTTTATGTTAATGTCTCATTTGTTTTTCTGTTTGTTTCATTGTATTTTGATATAAGGATGTCTATTAAATGTGTTATTAAATATTTGTTGTGATTGATTTGTTATCGCGTGGGTTACTAGATAAAAAGTTTCTTAATGCGTAATAAACAATTTGACAGCAATTTAGCCATAGAATCGTTAATGTTGAATATTTTTTCATGAAATTTGGTAAAGATCCATTTCAGGGGACGCCGAATCCAGTGGCGTACGCAGATTTTTTCTAAAAAAGTCGCTAATATGGATTCTGGATTTTTCAGCCTCTGAATGTGATCTAGTAGGCCTTAGTTTAAAAAAGAACTGGACGCCGCTTGGCTCCAAAATACACCTTTGCTCCCTCTACATTTCAAAAAAAAAATTGTCAAAATCGCTTCATAAATAAAAATGTTATGAGGGTGGCCCGCTTTCAAATGGGTCACTCTGTATATCGCTATCATCAACATCACCATAATCTACATCACCATCATCTACATCGCTATCATCTACACACCATAATCTACATCGCCATCATCTACACCACCTTCATCTACATCGCCATCATCTACAGCGTGACCATTATTTACAACACCATCATCTACATCACCATCATCTACATTTATATTGTCATCATCTACATCGCCATCATCTATAACGCCATTATCTACAGCATCATCATCTACATCATCTACATCTACATCGCCATCGTCTATATCGCCATTATCTACAGCATCATCATCTACATCATCTACATCTACATCGCCATGGTCTACATAACCATCATCTACATCGCCAGCATCTACATCATCTACATCGCCATCATCTACATCACCATCACCTACTTGGGCATCACCATCATATACATCACCATCATCACCATCATCTACATCGCCATCATCCACATCACCGTAATCTACATCACCATCATCTACATTACCTTCATTTACATCGCCATTATCTACATTACCATCACCTACTACAGCAACATCTATATCACCATCATGTACATCACCATCAGCTACGTCACCATCATCTACATCGCCATCATCTACATTGCCATCATCTACGTCACCATTATCTACACCACCATCATCTACATCATCATCGTCTACATCGCCATCATCTACATTACCATTATTTACATTATCTACATCACCACCATCTACATTATTATCACCATTTAAATATGGTGAAATTGGTAATTGGGAAATGGTAAATTTTGTGACACATTCTGTGTAGAAAGTTTTAAAATGGCATCTGGTTAGTAAATAAAATTTTTTTCATAAATAGGCTTCACTAAATAAAGTAGAAGAAATAAATATGATAAGGAATAATCCACGGGGTCTGTCCTGGATCAGTTTTATAGAACATGCAGTATATGGTAAAGCTTCAAAAAACATATTATGAAATTGTTCATCAAAAGACCTCAAAAAAATAAAGTAGAATGAAATAAAAAGAATATGAATACGTTTGAACACCTGCAACTCTGATCTGGATCAATTTTGTTGGAACATTCGGTATAAAAATTATCAAAAAAGCATCGTGTTGGTAAATGCAAAATTTTTGCTGAATGAATGAACTTTACCAAAGAAAGTAGAAAAAGGCAAAAAGGGTAAAAATATCTGGTCTGCCGCCTTTTTGTTTTGGGTTCAATTCTGATGTCATTCTCTCTGAACATCAAGTATAAACTTCCAAAAGGATATCTAGTTAGTAAATATAAAATTTTTCATCCAAAGACGTACGTAGGTAAGTCAGAAATGGGAAAAAAATAAGTTAAGTTTCACTCTCCTAATTCTGTGGATAATCTTGTAGAACATACAGTAAATATACAATTTTTCATTCAAATATTTCAGTACGTAGGTAAGGCAGAAATGGGAAAAAATAAGTTAAGTTTCACTGTCTCCCTACGAACGTATTTAGCTTTTGGCGTGAAATTTATTTTGACGTTTCGCGGCTCGCAAAAAAACTCTTAAGTCCGACCAATCACCGTTTTTCGCGATCGAGTGTGGGAACGAGAAGAGATTGCAGATTTTAAAGTAAAGAGTAAAGCGGCCGCATTTTGATTCCCTGTTAATTTCATTAAACATTGTAAATAAAAAGTTTGAAAAAGCATATTGGTAAGCAAATAAAACATATTTCTACATAATACTCGTATTTAAATAAATAAGTAGAAAATAGCGAGAATAAAAAATAAAAAAGCTCTAACCGCTCACGATTCGAACTGGGCTCCCGCGGATGGACAGCCGACGTTCAGTCCCTCGAGCTATCCCAGACACTCGGTGGGTTGTCTTTGTATAGGTTATTTAACGGTCCGCATCGGTTCGAATGCAACGAAAATGTTGAAATATTTAAATTCCGTTTTCTCGTCGCGATATCGATCGCGAGGGACGAAAATCGGCGTCGGACGTGAATATAACGACCCAGACGTCCCGAAAAATGTCTAGAAGAGCGAAATTCCGTAGGGCAATTTCCGGTATCGGAAGGTGGGCGTTTCCGACATGTCGCATCTCTGTTACGCTCCGCGCCTAGCCGAGGTGCCCCTGGAAAACGAAATTTTACCCGGGAAAACGCGGGAAAAACGTCGCGAAAATACCCTTAATGGACGCAGGAACGACTACGTGGCGCTTCGCACCCCGGACCTCGCCGCTTCGCGGCTCGCAGGGAAAGCCTTAGCACCGGCAAAAGGCCCCTTCTCGCGGCCCAGTGTGGGAGCGAGAGGAGATTACATATTTGAAAGATATACAAAGAAAGAAAGAATAAGAATACGGTCATATTTTTTTTCCAGGTAATAATTTCTGCAAATTTAACATTAGGCCGTCGCAGAATGCTTGGACTAATCACCCTCAAATTACTGTGTCCTGTGAGTAACTGTTTAGGAGCCATTCGCTGCTAAAAATCAGATTTCTGAAACATGGTTGATTGTTGATTGTTTATAGCTTGTTTCAAATATAACATTTCATAAAAACATACATTACATAAAAATTCCTGATAAAAGTAAATAACTATAAGCAATATCTTAAAAGTGACTGTCCTGTTCTATAGTTGCAAGGATTTGATATTTTTCGAAATATACAGGGTGTTTCAGGAGGAGTACATACTTCAGTATGTTATTCCACGTTCAATTTTAAGCAAAAAATTTCCTATGAACTTAAGTCTGGAAACGCTTAATTTAGGATATACAGGATGTCAAATTAAAAAAAATAATTATATTTTCTTTAATAACTCTCGACTACTTTAAGTTAAATTCATGAAATTTTGTCTACAGAGGTTTCTTGTCACGGGAATTCAAATTTTATGGACGATTGGTTGTACCTCCCAGAGGGCACCACAAGTCTGAGTCTGCGGCGGAAATCATCGGGCATTAAAGCTTGAGTCAACGTTATGTGATACGGATGGAATCTCCGAAGACACAAAATTCTGCTGGCTGTCGATTTCCGGATCCCAATATGTCTCTGAATGTCGCGCAAAGAGATATGATGATCCAAATCAACCATTGCCAAAACGACGGGAATTCATGGGTCATAATTGTTCTGTATCATAATGCGGTAATATTGAGGAGATATGGAACAAATTTAAAGATATAGTTATCGAAACGGCAAAACAAGAGTGTGGAACATGCAAAAAGGATAACAGGAAGAAACAAACGGTATGGTGGACAGAAAAAATTAAAGAACATATAATGAGGGAAATAAAGCATGGAGAAATTACCTATCAAAAAGAACAGCAAACTTATGAGATATATAAACAGGAAAGAAAACGAGTAAAAGATTTGGTATTAGAATCAAAGAAAAACGCTTGGGAATAATTCGGAAATAAAATGGAGGAAAATTGTAAAAATAATCAAAAACTGTTTTATACAGTGCTTAAATCAGTAAGGTCAACAGAAACATATAGTACAATACATGTCAAAAGTAAAAACGTCGACACGTTAACAGATGAAAAAGAAATAATGGCAAGATGGAGAGAGTACTTCGAGGAATTGCATCAGAAAATATGGAGACAAATGTACAAAGCGAATTAAGAGACCTAGAAGAAAATGAAGAAGAAGTAATAACGCTAGAAGAACTAAAAGAGACAATTAAAGATTTGAATAATGGTAAAGCACCAGGGGAAGATAAAATAACTGTAGAAATGATAAAACACTTAGGAGAAAAGGGTCTGGATATATTACTCAAAATATATAATAAAGCCTGGAGATATGAACAGACACCAAAAGCAAATTTCATTAATAGTACCAATACATAAAAAGGGAGATATTAAAGAATGTAGTAACTATAGAGGAATAACATTGTTGAGCACAGCTATGAAAATATACGAAAAAATAATTGATAGAAAAATAAAACCAATAATAGAGAAGACATTAGAGGAATCACAAAGTGGATTCAGAAAAGGAAGAAGTACACAAGATCACATATTCACTATCAAGCAAATAATAGAGAAAACCAACATGAAACAAAATAAAATATTTCTGGCATTTATTGATTTAGAAAAGGCTTTCGATAAGGTACCTCGGGAAAAAGTATGGGAAAGTTTAAATAAAAGAGGAGTAAATGAAAAGACAATAAGAATAATACAGAATATATATAAGAACAATATCAATTTTGTTATAAGAAATAACATGAAGTCAGATGCTTTTACGACAAAAGAAGGTCTAAGACAGGGAGGGGGTTTAAGCCCGACGCTTTTCATACTATTTATGGATGAGATAATAAAAAAATGTGCACTAGAAATAAAAAAGTTAAACGTTGGATATAGGAACTTACAAAGGATAGACATTTCAGAGGGAGCATTTGCTGATGATGTGGTAATCATGGCGGGAACTAAGAAAGATTTACAGCACAATTTAAATATATGGAACTTGGTACTTGAAGAGAATGGAATGAAAATGAATAAAAAGAAAACGAGAGTGATGGTGATAGGAAATGAACAAGAAAACGTGAATATAAAAGTAGCAAGTGAAAATATACAGCAAGTTGATGTCTTTCAGTACTTAGGAGTAGAGGTGGAAAATAACGGAAAACAAGATGCGGAAATAAATAGGCGAATAGATAAGACAATAAAATTATATTATACAATGAGTACGAAGTTTATAGGAAAAAAAGAAATATCGCAGAAAACAAAATTAAATGTTTTTAAGTCAATATATCGTCCAATCCTGACATTTGGCTGCGAATCATGGGTTCTATCGAAAAGACAAAAAAGCAAGATACAAGCAATAGAAATGAAATACTTACGAAGAATAAAGGGGATAACAAGAGAAGACAGAATAAGAAATGTTAAGGTAAGAGAGGATTTGAAAATACAGTCCATATTAGAATTTATCGAAAAAAGACAGCTGAGCTGGTGGGGTCACTTACAAAGGATGGATAGTGCAAGACCGGTCAAAAAAATATGGCAAACAAAGACACATCAGAAAAGAGGAAGAGGGCGACCGAGAACAACATGGGATCAAGTAATTGGAGAAATATTAAAGAAAAGAGGAAAGAAATGGACAGAAGCAAAGGAATTGGCAAGAAACAGGCAGGAATGGAGGAAATTTGTGTATAGTTAAGTGAAATTACTACCTACATCACAATGTGGTAAAAGGGTATTTTGATTATATATATCATAATGCGACGACGATTTCTATGTATTGGTGGTTGATGTCTCTCTCTTTGCTCAATGATTCGGATTCTCACGTGGTTCGGGTAGTGAAGCCTCCCTGGTAATACCTTGCCGCAGCACGATATCGGCCTCAACATGCCCCAAGAGACAACAGAATATCAACAATTTCGTTTCTCGAATAATCCGGCATATTTGGTCCCTTTGAGTCGCTAGACACTAAAAAAGTTCCACGTCAACTATCCTGAGAGGACTGTTCATGAGTCACTTCTCTCACAAATGACATTAGAGAAGTGTTATTCGCCGATTTGGCTGAAACTTTGTAGGTTTGTCCTGAATCACGCGAGAAACAAAAATAAAAATTTATGTCGGGTCAAATGGATATTTGATAATGATTTCCCACAACATATGCTGTAATTTGATTTTTCTTATTAAGGCTTGGAGTACATAAACTCACTTATCTTCAACACTCTGCCTGGTTGAAAAAAAGTACCGAAAAAAAAATTACTTTTTTTGTGGTTTGATCTTTCCAAAAAACATTATTTTTTTGTATAAAATAAGTCATAACATCGTATCAAAATTCTGAGAAAGGCGTTGAAATGCGCCCACTTCTTTATTTTCAAAACGAGATCTCTTGGAATTTTGGACAGTAAGCCGAACGTAGCAACACGAAGCAGGAGTAAGAAGACCTGAAGATGGTAAATGAAATTTTACCGAAACATCGTCAAACGAATGGTTCTTTTGAGGATCATGCAGATTCATCGCGGAACGCGGAGGAATTCTACAACCACAAAGAACACCCGCGGAAGCCTACGAACTATATAGGTTATTCTTGCATCGAAGAAAAAAAGATTAATCTACCAAAACCACTTAAGACTTATGCGGATGTTGTTTCTGAAGATGTGGTAATCATAAAACCTAAAACTAGTCAAGAAAGTAAGAAGACCAAAGAAGCTATACAAAAGAACTTAAAACCAGCTAATCTTGAAGTGGGAATAACGAAACTGAAGAACATTAAGGAAGGCGGAGTACTGATAAAATGTAAAAATAAAGAAGAACAAGAAAAGATTAGAAAGGCCGCAGAAAAAAAATTAAACAAAAATTATGAAGTCAAGGCTCCCATTTTAAAAAATCCAAGTATAAAAGTTTTGGATATTGAAGAGAAATTTAGTCCTGAAGACCTTCTCAACTTGATAAGAAAACAGAATGTATCAATATTCCACGATAATAGTGAACTAAATGTTAAAGTTGTAAAGAAGATGAAGACAAAATACATGGCTATTATCGAGTGCGATCCTGTGACATTTAAAAATATTCTCGATCAGAATGCCATATTTATTGATTGGTCGAAGTGTAGAGTTTTTGAGTATGTAAACGTCTCCCGTTGCTTTAGATGTGGTGTATTTGATCATCGGGCTGACAACTGTAGGTATCAAGGCAAATGCATGAATTGCGGTGCTTCGGACCATGAGTTAGAAAGCTGTTCAAGTAGACTTCCTCAGTGCTTAAATTGTTTGGAAATAAAACTGAAGTTTAATTTGGACATTGACTCTAATCACTCTATCTATGATAGTAACTGTCCTGCTTATTTAAAAAAAATTGAGAATCAGAAGAAGAAAATTAAGTATTTTACAGTTGACAAGATGTCTTTTTTAGACCGAGAAAACCAAGTACGGCCCTGAACAATTCATGTGATTTTAGTGTACAAGGTAACAGTAATGATTATATTCACGATCAATCCTTAGAATTAAGCAATGTTCAGTTTAGTGGAATTTGCCATTTTAATGCCAGATCAGTTTCAAACAAATTTAATGATATAAAATCATTCATTCTAAAAAATTCATTTTTAATTGTTGGAATCAGTGAGACTTGGTTTTCAGCTGATATTGATGACGACGTATTTAATATACCGAATTATAATTTAATAAGATCCGATCGTATCACAAGAGGTGGAGGTGTCGCGCTTTACATAAAATCTTCGGAATTCAAATCATATTCGGTATTAACAATTCCAACTGATGGTGTTTATGATATTGAATATTTAATTGTAAAGTTGAGAGTAGGTTATCGGACCTGTGCTGTGGGTGTTTTTTATAAGCCTCCTGATTCTCATTATTCAAATCTTTGTATTTTGGCTGATGCTATACAGTACTTTATGGAAAATAACATTAATAATTTTGTCTTTATTGGAGACTTTAATGTTAACATGCTAACTAACGGGCCTGATTCTGTATTCCTCAATGATTTGTTATTGAGTTATGACTGTAAACAATACGTCTCTGATCCTACTAGAGTGACTGCTGATACTGAATCTTTACTTGACTTAATTATTTCGAACTCTGATTTGTGTATTAAAAACGTTGAAGTATTAGATATTTGTTTCTCTGATCATAATGTAACATCTTGTGATATTGAACTAACCAGTAATGTGCCTAAACCTGTTGTAAAGGAATATCGTTGCTACCGTAATTTTAATTGGGAAGCTTTTAACCGTGATGCTGCCAGTATAGATTGGAATCAAATTTATAATATTAATTCTTTGATTGGTAAAGTAAAATTTTTTAATGAATCTATTACGAGCCTCTTCGACAGACATGCTCCATTAAAGAAGCGTACTTTTAAAACTTTTAAAAAACGAGAGCCATGGTTTACTGATACCTTATGGGAAATTAGAAAACTTAAAAATAAAGCTTGGTTAAGATTCAAAAAAAGTAGAAATGCTGCACATAAAAAATTTTTTTGTGACATTCGTAA